AAAAAAAATAAAAGGGGTTCGGGAGTTTAGGCAAAAATAGGATTGAAGTGACGGGGGTGATGAAGGGGAGGGAATGAATTTGTTGTAGAAATAGAAGAAAAGTAAAATACAGAATGAGAGTGAGTAAAAATAGTGGCTGAAAGAAGAAAAATAGTGAGAGATAAAAGAGGAAAATAAAGAAGAAACGAGGGAAATAATGAAGAACGATAAAGAGAAACAAAAAATAATTAGGATAGAAGGAAGAAAAAAAAGGTTTGAAATAAACGAAAAAAAAAAGTTAAAAAATGAAAGAAAATATTTATTGGGAAAAAATAATAAAGTAAAGTAAGAAAATAAGATAAAAATAATGAAAATGAAGCAGAATCTGTATAAATCATCGGCGAAAGCATAAAAATAAAAGAAAATAAGTAAAAAAAAGAAGAGAAAAAACGAAAGAAAGAGAGAAAAAGAAAAAGAAAGAAACAAAGTCAAAGGCAAAGAGAATGAAAATTGCTATAGACTCTGAATAAATTATCGGCCAAAGCGTGAGAATAAAAGTAAAAAGAAAGAAAGAAAGAAAGAAAGACAGAAAGAAAGAAAAAAGTAAGAAAGATAAAGAAAATTAAAAGAAAACAGACTTGCAATAAATTATCAGCTAAAGCATAAAAATAAAAGAAAGTAAAAAAAAAAAAGAGAAAAACAGAAAGGAAAAAGAAAAAAGAAAGAAAGGAAGATGAAGAGAATAAAACAAACTCAGAATAAATTATCGACGAAAGCATAAAAATAAAAGAAAGAAAGAAAGAAAGAAAGAAAGAAAGAAAGAAAGAAAGAAAAAATGATTAAGGTAATAAAGACAAAATATACTCGGAATAAATTATAGGCTAAGGCATAAAAATAAAAAAAAAGTAAGAAAAAGAAAGAAAGAAAGATAAATAGAATGAAAACAAAATAGACTCGGAATAAATTACCGGCTAAAGCAAAAATAAATAAATAAATAAATAAATGAAAAAGAAAAAAGGAAAAGAAAAAAGTAAAGAAAAAACAAAGAAAGAAAAAATCGAAAAAATTGAAAACAAAAATGTCAAGGAATAAATTTCTGGAAAATGTCAAAAAAAAAAAAAGAAGTTAAAATCGAAGAAAAAAGGAACAATTGAAAGGAGACGACGAAATTGTCGAAAACATAAATAGCAGATTAAAACCAAATTGTCAAATGAAGAAGTAATATATATCTATAAAATTTACAGAATAGAAAAGAAGGAAAATAAAAAATTACTAGTGCTGGAATGGAAACGAAAATTAAAGAAAATGAATGCGAGAAGAAAGATTATAAGCCATATTGCTACATTTCCAGGAAAAAGAACGAAATTAATAAATAAATAGAAGAAAAATAGAAGAGAAGATAAAGAAAATAAGAAAATAAAAGAGTAAAATTAAGAATGAAGGACAAAAGCCCAGAATGAGCGTACCGGGCGAGTGTAGATAAAATATAGAAAATGGCGACATAGTAAACTTAAACAATATGTAGAAGAAAGATAAGGAACTTAATAAAATAAGAATAACAATCCTGATTTAATAAGGACTAGAAGAGAATGTAGACGAATTATATAAAGAAAAGAGAAGCAATCTCGGTGAAGTTATCAGCGGCCATTTTATTCGAAAACTTATTCACCAACGACGGTCGTCTGCGGTTAAGCAATACATTACTTTCTTGGAGAAAAATAAACCGGTGTTTGCCACATATGTTCAGCATTAATAGCACCTGGCGCTATAGACGTCAGTTTAGCCACCCAATGAATTTTACAATATAGGCTTTTTTCTTATTTATTTATTTATGACATTTTTTTTGAACATCTTCTTCACACCTACCAATTTGGATTTTTCTTGAAGCTCCGATAGCGACTTGGGTGAAAAAAAAAATTTAAAAAAATTCTTTCCCTTACAACTGCACTCATTTTTTTGTGTGTTTTTTAAACTGCCCCCGTGTATCGGTCAGTTAAACATGTGTGGCGTGCAAGTGTTCAATTTTTAATGTATTTGGGTTCTACACAACAGATTGGGCCTATTGTGGCAGGAAGAGGCCTGAACGGACAATTTGTGTGTTTTGTTTTAACGGAATAAAAAAAAAGAATAAAGATGAAGACTCCGACTGCAGGCGATTGCAACGATTGCATTTCCCTTCATTGTTACATATGAGCAAGTGTGGAAAGGGATTTGACATTCTTTTCCTATTGATGAAAGGAAAAAATAAAGAGATTGACAGAGACAAAAAAAAAAAAAGGAGAAAAGAAAGGCAGAAAATACAAATTGAGGGAAATTAATTCCAAGGTGAGAAAGAAATTATGGGTTAGGCGAGGCGGGAAAGAAGCAAAATGAAAAAGGATGAAAAAATAAAAGAAAAGGTAAAACGAATGAAAAAAAGAAAAAGAAGTGTTCTTAGTAAGGAAAAAAGAAAAAAGTTAAGGAATGAATTCTAAGAAGAAATAAAGAAATTGGAAAATGAAAATGAGGAAGAGAAAGGAAAAATAAAAAAAAAGTGGAAAAGAAAAAGTGAAAGATAAAGTGACGATGGTGTAATAAGTGGAGTAAAGGGAGAGAGAGAAGGAAAAAAAATAAGAAAATAGTGAATATTATGAACGGCTACAAAGAGAGAAAGAATGAAAATATAAGAGATGGGAAGAAAAAGAAAAGAAGAAAAGAAGGAAAATAACGAGCATCAGAAAGAAAGTAAGGAAGGAACAAAGAAAAAAAAAAGAAAGAAAGAAAGAAAGATTCGAAATTGAAAGAAATAATGAAAGAAAGAATTTGAAAGAAAGTGATAGACATAAAGGAAGCCTAAACAGAAAGAAAGAAAGAAAGAAAGAAAGAAAGAAAGAAAGAAAGAAAAAGAAAGAAAGGAAAAAGAAAGAAAGCGATTGAATTTAGTCAAACGAAAGGGCAATGGGAGAAAAGAATAAAAATGTTAGAAAGAAAGAAAGAAAGAAAGAAAGAAAGGAAAAAGAAAGAAAGGAAAAAGAAAGAAAGCGATTGAATTTAGTCAAACGAAAGGGCAATGGGAGAAAAGAATAAAAATGTTAGAAAGAAAGAAAGAAAGAAAGAAAGAAAGAAAGAAAGAACGAAAGAAAGGAAAAAGAAAGAAAGCGATTGAATTTAGTCAAACGAAAGGACAATGGGAGAAAAGAATAAAAATGTTAGAACGAAAGAAAGAAAGAAAGAAAGGAAAAAGAAAGAAAGGAAAAAGAAAGAAAGCGATTAAATTTAGTCAAACGAAAGGGCAATGGGAGAAAAGAATAAAAATTTTAGAAAGAAAGAAAGAAAGAAAGAAAGAAAGAAAGAAAGAAAAAAAGAAAGAAAGAAAAGTTTGAAAAGAAGCTGATTAAGATAAAGAAAGCGTAAATGGAAGCAGAAGACGGTAAGAAAAAAAGAAAGAAAAAGAAAAAAGAAAGAAAAGGGGAATTAATGTAGACAAGTGGGAGAGAAAAAGGAGAAACGGAAAAACGAGGAATTAAATCCAAGGAAAGAAAGAAAGAATAAAAAGGAAAAAAGAAAGAAAGAATAAGAAAAAGTTTGAAAAGAATCTGATTAAGATAAAGGAAGCGTAAATGGAAGCAGAAGACGGTAAGAAAAAAGAAAGTAGAGAAAGAAAGAAAGAAAGAAAGAAAGAAAGAAAGAAAGAAAGAAAGAAAGAAAGAAAGAAAAAGAAAAAGGAAAGAAAACAGGAATTATTGTCGACAAATGAGAGAGAAAAAAGAGAAAAGGAAAAACGAGGAATTAAATCCAAGGAAAGAAAGAAAGAAAAAACAGGAAGGAAGAAAAAACAAAAGAATTAGGTTGAAAAAAGAAATAACTAGATCAAAAGATATAATGTTGAAATAAATAAACTATTAAAAGAAAATGAGATGGAAAACGGAAGAATAAAAATAAGCAAAAAGCAAAAAAAAAAAAAAGAGAGAATGAAAGAAATAAAAGAGACAAGAATATATTAAGAAAGAGAAAAATAATATATAAAAAAAGAATTCCCAGTTAACAAAAGAACGAAAAAGAAAAAAAAAACAAGATATAATAATAAGAATGAAGAAGAAAAAAGCAAAATTGATAAAAATAAAAAGCGCAAAGAATGGGAGAATGGAGAAGAAAGAATAAAATGAAAAATGAAAGTATAATGTTAAAGAATAGAAAATAAAGAAAGAAAGTACAAAGACGAAAGAAGGAAAACGACGAAGAGGAAATAAAGAAATATGAACACTGAATAAAAAAGAGACTGTGAAACAGAGAAGAAATAAAAAGAAAAAAAGGAAGAAGAAGCAACGAAAAAAAAAAAAAGAAATATAACAATAAAGACGTAAAGAAAATGTAAAAAGGCAAAAAAGAAAGAAAAAAAGATGAAGACGAAAGAAAAAATGACATTTTTGAACGTTAGGTACGTGTGTGTTGGTTTTTAGTTCATTTGTTTAACCCTTTGAGTTCTGACCATCGGTTTATCGATGCAAGAGAAAAATGACGTCATGTCCAGTCACCAGTTGAACAATGGTAGAAAAAAATGACTTAATGCCCAGCTACCGGTTGGATAGTGGATAAATACTTGTAACTATTCTTATATCTACCGTGAAACATTACGTACCAATTATTTGCGAATTTTAAGTCACAAGCTCAGGCAGAAGGGGTAAAATTGTTCAGAAACGCGGGGCTCAAAGGTTTAATTTTTCTCATTCATGATCCTTACAAAATAATATAATTTGCTAGGAATTAGAGTAGTTTGTTTTTTCTCTCGCTTACTTTTATTTTTGTTATGAGACAACGCAACATATACTAAGTTAAAACTGAAGATAAACCTTTCCGAAACAGAAATAATGATTTGGAAATGGAACGAAAACAGCGATGGCACCTTCCCTGAATCAATCATTAAAATGAAAATATCCTCTATCAAGTGTTCTAAGAAATCGGACTCAAGATAAACCTTTCCAAAAGAGAAACAATGATCTGGAATTGGAATGAAAACAGTGATGGCACCCACTCTGAATCAATCATAAAAATCACTTATATCAAATTAATAAATACTAAAGACTTCAAAAAGGTTTATGCATTAACTATAATAGATTTAGTATAGGAAATAAGCAAACTGTATGTCTAATAAATTGGTCCTGGGGATAGTTTGGCCCACTGCACCAAATTGCTACAAAGCCAAATCATTAAAACAACTCGAGACATTTACTTAAATAGCCTCATCAAATCGAGACTTTTACGTAGATGGTATATACTCGAGTTTTATGATTTTTTTTTACTCAATTATCATTATCCTGATAATTACCATTATCATGATAATTAACATTATCATGATAATTACTATTATCCTGCTAATTAACATTATCATTCATTGAGTAATGAAATATTTAATCTCGAATATCAATGAACAGTTTTGAATTGACTGTGAGTGTTTCATTACAACCCCCAACACACACACACACACACACACACACACACACACACACACACACACACACACACATATATATATATATATATATATATATATGTTAAAGATGAAGTTTTAAGATATGCTGTATTTATGGATTAAAGTACTTCATATCAGGGATAGAGCGTATATAAATATAAAAATGGACATTGAGGTCAAGACATAGTGGCGACAGACTCTTTTCATGCTTAAACACAATCTTCATGGCATATATATATATATATATATATATATATATATATATATATACACTCTCGACTCTCCCGTCGAATTCGACGTATGAGGGTCAAGCAGATCAGTTCCTAGGAAACCGACAGCAGCACATGAGATTTGAACCATCCACACTTTTTGATGGGCCGAATTCAGAGCTCTGGTGCACTACGTGCCACAAGGTCCCCAAACGACCCTCTGCAGGTTTTGAATTCAGAGTTGTCCTTCTCCTAGACCAGTTGCCATCCGGGGCTAGAGAACCTAGTCTGTCCTGCTATTTACCCATAGATGGAGGGAGAAAAATAGGATTCACACCTTTCCCAAGGGTATTAGCACATAAGTGAATGTAATGGATTCAACTAGAATTCAAACTCGGCTCTCTCAGTCTCTCTCTCTCTCTCTCTCTCTCACCTCTCTCTCTCTCTCACCTCTCTCTCTCTCTCTCTCTCTCTCTATATATATATATATATATATATATATATATATATATATATAAAACCAGAGAATGACGAGAGGGAAGGAAAGAGAGAATGCGAATCATACATTTTTTTAAAATGTGTTAGAATTTATATAGAGTATTAATATGTTCTGAGGTGAACAGACTATTTGTTTCTGCTACAATAATAATTTTTCTTAATTTTAATTTTATTCTTTAATTTTGTTTTGAAGACTACAAGTTTTAATTTTAATTAAATTTAATTTTAAAAAATTTTAATTTATTTTAATTTTATTCTGTAATTTTATATTGAAATATACAAGTTTTAATTTTAATTAAATTTAATTCTAATAAATTCTAATTTATCTTTATTTAAATTTTATTCTTTAATTTTAATTTTATCTAAATTTTTTTAATTGGCGTTAAAAATTGATTCTGGGATGTGTTACAATTGCTATAATGTATATAATTTATATAATTTATACAATTTATATAGTTTTAATTTTATTCATTAATTTTAAATTTACAGATTTTAATTTTTAATTTATTTTCAGTTGAATTAAATTAAATCTTAATTTTGCAAATTTAATTTTTAATTTATCTTAATTTTAATTTTATTCTTTAATTTTAATTTTATCTTAATTTTTAATTGATGTTAAGAAATTGATTCTTGCATGTGTTGCAATTTATATATTTTATACAATTTACATAATTTAAATTTTATTTTTTATTATAGTTTTACAAATTTTAATTTTAATTTTACTAATTTTAATCTTAATTTTTTATTCCAATTTGAATTAAATTTTAATTTAATTTTAATTCAGAAATTTAAATTTTAATTTATCTTAATTTTGATTTTATTCTTTAATTTTAATTTTATCTTAATTTTGAATTGTCGTTAAAGAATTGATTCTTGCGTATGTTACAATTTATATAATTTATTCAATTTATATATTTCTAATTTTATTTCTTAATTATTATTTTACAAACTTTAATTTTAAATTTACAAATTTTAACTTTAATTTTTTATTCCAATTTTAATTAAATTAATTTTTAATTTAATTTTAATTCACAAATTTTAATTTTATTCTTTAATTTTAAT